GTCTCACTCGCTCCAGGGGCGTCTGATCATTGCTCCCTGCGGCGCGCTGTGTGGCAACAATGCGGCCACTGTCATCTGCAGCACGCTGGCTATTTTGTGGAGAGTAGAAGTCACTGGGAGGTGCCACGACGAGTCGCCGCATGACAGCATCGCGTATGAAATCCGTGTTCGAGGTCATGGGCACTTGGCATTGATTCACGGAAAACTTCTTGACTGCAAATTTGTATCAGCGAAGCAACATGCACAACTCGCGAGAAGCAACATGAAGCCTCTGAGATTTTGAAATGCATGGAACAAACTGCATTCAAAATGGCAGGTGGAAAACAGCTGACTGACTGTAGTTGACACAACCGCAAAAGCGATAGCACGATAAACGAAAAGTGAATACGAGGAAGGCCTCCAAACCTGTCGATCTGTTTGTTTGAATATGAAGCAAAATTTCTCACCGATGACTGCGCTGTATCATTTTTGACCCCCTGGGTGCCCTGTTCTCAAAATGAACATAACCCACAATATGCAATGCCTTTCAAAGCTATTACGCAAAAGAAGCTTTCAAAGCTTCATAATCGGCTTCATAGCTATCCGGCCATGTGCCAGAACCCCAAGGTGGTGGGAAAACAATTGGCCCCGGCTCTCGGGCCACTATTACCGGGTGCCCAACACTCACAGCATGCCGCACACACTTGCTCACATCGTTTGGGCGAGCGACCAATAGCCAATCTGGTAGAACAACTTCGTCAGGGTCTGAATATTCCCAGACTGATTCAAAGTCAGACTCGGAAAGGTGCTTGGTCATGCGGCGCAAGGCTTGCGAAGGCTCAGCGTCCGGCTGCCGTTGCCGTTGTAGAACAGGCTGACTGGCCCGCAGCTGCTTTCTCTTGATCCACATTCGTTGCTTATCCATCCACGAAATGAACCCAGTCATGTGTGCTGCGCAGCGAGGAATCACATCTTCTGTAACCACCACTGAAAACAGCCATGGATTCAGGCGATGAGAAACATAAACTGTGCACACTGAACAAAAAGGCAAATGCGCCAGGACTCTTCCAATGATAATAGCACATTATTCTGGGTCTGGGAAAAGTTTCAGCATCCGGTATTTACAGCACATAAACGTGTCATTCAAACTGTTACACTGTTACGCACGCAAAGCATCGGCTGACTGTCAGTTTGTCTCGATCTATAGCTTGTCTTTCATATGCCTTCATAGCTTGTTTCAAAGCCATGCACCATCGTGCACCTACTACATAATAACGATCCCATGCCTTGAGCACTGCGGCCCCCATGACCCCAACAACAATCTATGTTGGATAGAACAGTCAGTTCAAAAAATCTCGACCTAAACCGCTTTTTATCATGAGTCTACATATTATGTTTGTTCTGGCTGGATCGCACAGTTCCGGGGATCATCAGGCGAGACAAGTAGGCTGTTTAGCCTTGAGGTCAAGCGCTACGCAATTGAGCACATATGGCTTTTGCACTTTCAGGCAGCCGTGAACTCTCTCGAATCGCCATCGGAAAATGCATGCCAGGTGCTTTGAGTCACGCACCTGGGCAATGCTCTGAGAGAAAAAAAAAATCATCGTGTTAGCTTTGCCGGCTTCACTCAAAGGCTGGTACTGGTGGCGGTCCTTGATAGTCACCTCGAACGAATCTGGCTTGGTCGAATTGTGGTCAGTGACGCGCTTCACATCAGTGTAGGACACTTTGTGCGTTGCCAACTTCTTCGTGGTCTCTAGGTGCACCAGCAGACGGTACAGCGACATGCACTCCACGTGGTTCTGATCTGGCACAATGGACGAATGGTCGATCTGCAGCATGCTTTTGTCTCCCTCGTCCCACTTGAGCTCCACTCCTGCTTCCGAGGAATCAGAGCACGCCACATACCTGAGCACGTCAAATGTATGGACTAATGAATGCATGCATGTATGTGTACGCGTATTAGTATGTGTATGTATGTGTATTATGCGCATGTCTCTTCACTAGCGCCGAAAGTATGTACAGTATGTCAATATAGACTCATTAGTATGCTTTTGACTGGTTTAGCGTGCTTTGTATTTAGATGATAGATGTATTTAACGCCATTGCATGGACTCAACAATTCATGTGTTTTGATCATTTCTCAGTACGTGTTAGCATTTAGCATCTTCTAGTTTGTATTGGTATGCACTACGTTGTAAATATTTGTGCAATAATAAGTATGTAATGGTTCATAGCTTCTAGCATTTGGTGGTACTATGTGTTGGATTGTATTGGTATGTGTTACAGTAGTATTGGTGTAAGTATCTATGAGTGTGTCACAAAAGGGGTCACTATATGTTGCGCGTATCAGGATGTATCACCATGTGCAAATATGTACTAATATGCTTTAGGATGTAGGTGTCTTGCTTCCCAGCCTGAGATGCTACATGTGAGAACGAGCGAAGAGTAGGGTGGGACCCCATTCAAGCTCCCTGAAAAAAGAAAACATGGACCAGCAGGGGACTCGAACCCTCAACCTTCACCTTCCCCTTTTGTGTAGCTTGCCCTGCCCTGTGGTTGTTTGTGGTTGTGCATTGGCGTGACTGCGGTGGTCCTTGTTGCCAAGTGTGTGTGTGTGTGTACGTCTCAAAGTAAATGAAGGTCCGTGGTTGTGGATTTGGGCATGTGTAGGTATGTATGTGACCGTAAATGTGCGTGTGAACACAACAAGAAATGGATGGCGGGGTGGGCAGGTGGATAACATAGTCATTTTCTGAGGATTCTAAGTCTATACAATATATATATATAGAAAGAGAGAGAACATTGAACATCCTGTACTTACCCGAGCCAGACTGAAAACTGATAAGCAAGTTAAATGAACAGTAGGTTCCCTGAGTTTTGAGAACTAAGTTGGGAGTCATATTTGAACAACATCTTGTACTTACCCGAGCGGGACCGAAAAGCGCGAAGCAAATCAAAAGCAGGTTCCTTGACTTGAGAACTACTGTAGGAAGTTGGGAGTCAAAATTGAAAATATCATCTGCAAACTATCTCTTTTCAAAGATGCTTTCCCGTGCCGAACCCCCCAAGCAAGGTCCATCGCGGGACCACCCTAGCTTTGTCAGCCATCACGTAGATCTTCCCCGACTTGCACCTGATCAATTCAACCCCGCTCACTTCAGAACCACAGCGGGTCTCAATCGGATCACTCTGAACCAGTTTTTCCTCAGATTCAAAGGTCACAGGCTTCTCTGCAGAAGGCTCCCCAGGACCACTTGGCGGCTCAGGATCAGCCACAGCCGTGTCAGCCGCACTCGAATCAGCAGCAGTGGCCTTCACAATCGCAGACTTGCTCTGTGAGAGTTGATCAGAAAGGAGATTCTGGTAATGCGTCTCGTGGTGCTGCTTCAATGCAGCAAACTGCTCGGCGAATTCCTGCCCGCTGTTCTTCCATTGTTTTTCTTGGTCTGGGTGAATGACGACAGCAGTTCCCTGCCGCACGCAAACCTTCAAGCCCATCGAGTCGATGGACCCGACAAACTCTGCTCCAGGGATGGCCTTCATCTCCTGTTGGAGTAAACGGAGGTGAACAAGAAAGCAAGAAGTTTGTCGCAGCATGTTTTTTCCAAAAAGGTATGCAAAGTTAGGTATTGACTAGAATATGGAAACGCAATTGATCAATCCTGGTCATTGAGGCGGACGTCATGCTCTTCAAATGTGCGTCCCTCGAAGGATATCCTCTTCTGCAACCAGGCGTCAAGCAATTCCCTCAGGACTCTGCGCCGGGCATACTCATAGCCCGCCGTGGAATCCAATGTGTGACATGACAGATAGTGCGTGTCCGAGAAATTGAAGCCACCTCCCTCACCAAGCATAGGCCCTTTGATTCTCAAGTTCAATACCTGACAAGGGAGAAACACCTAACATGTCTAACAAAATCTCCAGAAACACAATCCACATACACCATCACCCATACTCACACAAACGCATGTTTCAAAGGAAGAATGAATCTTCAGAATTTCATGAATCCAAGTTGCTGCCAAAGCCACCTCCTCTACATAGCCAGTCCAGTTTACCAGCAAAACCGGCCGTTTCAAAGGAGTGAACTTCACGAGCGACTCCAAGAGCAATTGCAAACGACCTGCACCCTTCTGAGCCGATTGCTGCTCAGGGCTAGGACGGTTGCGCTCAGAGATCCGCAGGTCTGAGTCGGGGCTTGAGCCCTCCGGAAGGAGCAATGAGCTTGCCTTCGGCAACACGCTGGTCGGAGCACCATTCTCCTGCTCGTTCTGGGAAACAGGGCGGCCGCATACGGCCAATTCACTCTGGAGCCATAATATGTTGCTGTCCTTGCTGTCCCCGTTGACCACCAGCCGTCCAGTGGAAAATCGCCGCACATTGCTGCGGCTCTCAACATGCCGCTCCCGTGTCAGCAAGTCCACCCATCGAGTCTCCACGTGCTGTCGAAATCCGAAGCAGGCCTCCAGGATGCTCTTCTCCTCGTCGTAAAGCCCTCGAAGAGATGAATCCTTCGGAATGTCGGGGAAGCATGCCAAGGTCGCGTTGACCGCAGGGTTGCCTGTGTCGTTCACGATTGACATGGCTTGGCATAACGCCTGAATGGACTTCCCTCCTCAAGCTCCGGGAACGTTGAAGTCAACAAAGCCGAGGGTGGCAATTTGATCCAAGCCCACGTTGCAATCTGATGCCTCAGCTGGACATACAGAATGAAGGAATCATGTTCGATCTTTTCAATTTTCCCATTGCGCCGCTAAAAACACTTACATACAAGAAGCCCCTCGACAAATCTTCCGAAAGGAGATATTGACCAAATCGAGTTGCAATTTGCAACTTCATTTTGCTGATCTCTGCCTTGGCCAGCTCCACCTTTTCGATGTTGAGCACACGCAAAAAAACGACTCCTGGCATCAGGCAACAATTGAGAAAAACATATTCTTTTGAACTCTTACCAAACTCTTACCAAATATGTATATATATATATATGTATATTAATAGTGAAATTGAAATGAATGATTGTGTCATATTAAGCTAAAATCATGTGGCTTCGAAAGAATAGTCATCCGCTCCTGGTATCCCGCGCATGCTGCTTCTGCCGCAGCAATGGCTTTCCCGCGATGCGCAACCTGCTTCACATGGAGCTTCTGCCGAACTTGGGCTGGTGCTCTCTGAACAATCGTCAATCCCTCCTGGTCCTTCTCCAGGGCAGCACAGAAGTACTTCCACTGTGCAGCCAGAACTTCCTGACGCTGGCACTCAACCTGCTCTACCTTTTTCCTCTCTAACTCCTGCAAGTCTTCCGAGGCCTTCTCTTGGTGCGAGAGGAGCATGGAAAGAGAGAAAACATTGGGCCTGCGGTGCAACAAGTGCATCAGGTCCTCATCTCGGCCCATGCCAGTCTCAACATCTTCAATCCACCTTGCCACCTCTTCTGTGCTCAGCCGAGCCCGCAGGTGTCCCAAAATCTGGCTGAATATTACAACCATGTTCCTGACCCGTAGGAGTTCCTCTGTCCCCATACGATACCGTTTCTTCAAATTCTGTGGAACCATTCCCGTCACCCGGTCGAAGGTGATCCTCACCCGCCGGAACAGGAGTGTCTGCGCCTCGGGAGTCATACTGAGCTGCCAATCGATGGTAATGAACGCTTCGTGCGGCAGTGGCTGCGGCTGCATGGAGTCATACTCGGCATCCATGGATTCCAGCTTGCCAACGCTTCCGATGAACATAGCCCCAACAGCGCAAAATGCTTCCCCGAAGGGGCCGTGGCTGAATGGCAGGTCGTGTGTGCTACGAAGCAACTCCTTGAACGCGTCCGGAGCAGTGGAGTTCAGAAGGTTCTTCACTGCCTGGCCGCAATTTCAATTTCAATCTCGATGCAGATTCTTGTAAGTGAGAGGAGGAAGGTTTCCATTGTTTCGTACAGACAAAATAATCCAGAAAAGGTTCCGCAACAATACCTTCTCAAGGATCTCAAACCCATCAAAAAATCTAAATGTTTGGATGTTTTGATCTTTGGATCATGTCGAACAGCTGAGTCCTTCGCATCTTGCCCCCTTCCCCTCCCACACACACAGACTGACACACACACACACACCACCGGTTACCAGAATACCGTGCCTGTTTTTTCCGATTGTCAAGAGAGATAGGACCTGCTCCGCCTGAAGAGTCCATTGCTCGCACCTCGGGGTGTGCGTTGTACTTGGCCATCGCTGAGTCAAATGAACCAGTACTGCCATCGCACACCGAAGTCAAAATGGAGCACCAAGCCAAAGAGCTAACTGGCTGGACCTTTGAATCTAAGTTTTGCTTCACGATCCTTGCCACAGCACTGTCCAGATCATCTGAAGATCCAGAGCTTCCTTTGAGAACTGTTCTGATTCGCAAAAGCGAACCCAGCAATGCTTGCACATTGGCATCGTTCCCAAACGTTCCCTGGTTGCTCTCCCTCCCAGCTGCCAGGCACAATGCAATCCATACAATAAAGGCTCCAAGGGTTTTCTGAGACCCATCACTGAAGAACAAAGATCCGATGGCAAGGTTCACCGGCTTCAACGGTGCACATGGAAGCCGAAGAGTCACCGTCTCCCCCTGGCGAAGCTCAAGGGAAGAATATGTTCCAAAAAGGTTTTAAAACTTAACCCTTCTCTGAGTTATTTGGCCCTTAGGCTGAATCTGGATTTGAGTAGAATAGCAAAAGCTCACCTAGAGTCTGAATCCCCGAAAGAGTGAATCATGGAGAGCTACTCGCTGAGTAGCTCTCCATGAGCTTATGTCCAACATTCTCTCAAATCTTCCGCAGTCAAACCCGGAAATGAGCCCGGAAAAATCCAGCTCTCCATGGATCAGGAATCATGGAGAGCTACATTTTGAAAAATCTGATCCCCTATAGCATGGAGAGAAATAATATCTATGTAAATTCCGCTGCCGCAATCAAAAAACCGAAACGTTTAGGGTTTAGGGTTTGCTTTTATTTTTTTGAGGTTTTCTTCAAATACCTCGCCATACCTGTTGCTAGAACACCTCGGCATGATACCTATTGTTGGAAAACCTCGGCATGATTTTAAGATCCCAGACGCCCATATCTCGCCAAACCTGGTACTCAGAAATCCTCGCCATGAATTTACCTTGATGACATTGCTCTGTGTATCATATCTCAAGTATTGGTAGCATCATTCCCGGTGAACAGTTGAATACCTTGGTTTGACCCTGCCTCGTGGAATCGACTTGCAGCAATTGCACGTGCGAAGTTCACCACTTCGCTCATCGCGATGGCATGTCCTCGCCAAAAGCTCTGATCCGCAAAGCTCCAAGCCAGCACGGACGTCTCGAAGGCTTCTGACTTTTCAGGTGGCCAAGCCTAGTTTAAACACACTGTGGCTGAAGCTAAACCGAAACTCGTTCAAAAAAATGTCTTTGTTGATTTGACAGAAAATCCATGACCTTCCCAAATACCCCAATTGAAAACTCAATGATCCTTAGAAGCAAAATCCAAGAAACATCCAGTTTGCAGTAGTGCTGCAAAAACTCGGCATCATCCTGGACTTCAAGCAGGCCTGCTTGGAAGGCTAACTCCGTGGACATGCTGACAAGACGATCACTGTCCTCAAAAGCTCTTTGTGCGATGTCTTTGAACGTGCCACCATGACAGATGGGCCATGGATATAGCCCGTCCTTTGGAACCATCCCGAAAAGAGGATCTGTGTGCACATCGGTGGGCTTTGCATGCCTCAAGGAATAGATGCCCTCAACCAAGTCCATGGCATCTAGTTGCAATCGAGGCAGGTCATCAACCGTCGTCGCAGATGCCGGAGTGTAGGCTCCTGCAGCAAATGCCTGAGCTAAGGCAGAGCCCTTCGCCTTCTTTCGAGGCGGCATCGCGGCAAAGGAGTCACCAAATCCCTCAGGGAAAAACAACTGCAACAAATAGCAGCGAGGCAGGAGCAATCTGAAAGGAAGCAATACCTGGACCGGCAATATGACACTGAATGCACTCAGGAAGCAATCAACTTAATCGCAGCGTTGCGAGCAGCAAATGGTTTGTTTCAGCAATCCTGCTATCAGAAACATCGACTCAAAAGGCAACTACCCCGCAGTCAACCCTCTAAGGCCTGGATGCTACACACAGGGCTCAGGCGAGTGGTTGAAACTTGAATTGAATGCTACCGCCACTCAACCTATTGCTATCACAACCCTGCCCAGGTCAATCCGGCGATGAGGAAGGCACTGCACACCGGTGCGCTGAACCTGAGCGTGCAAAAAAATGTTTTAGGGCCTCCGGAACGAGGAGAACTGAGGTGGGCACGCGTTCCCTGCCATGTTGCTCAGCTGGCTATTGCTGAGTGTATCCATGCGATACCTCCGGAATTCCTGCAAGCCCACCCCTTGCAGGAGCATCTTCTCCTCATCAAAACAAAATACAAACTCTTGCAAGGGTTTTGGCCAACCACATTCTCATGGGTTTAACTAGGACTAGCGAAGCAACATCCTGTCCTTGCTGCTAAGCAAGCTGAACCGCTTGGACACGACATACTTCCCATTGGGAAGCAAGCATGGGCACATCCCGGGGCAAGATCTGTTGAAGGTAGCACGGCAAAAATTCTGGTCCTTGGTATTTGGGAAATGGAAACTCCCACCAAATATACCAACAACGCTACATAACAAAATGCCCACTTAGCATCTACTTACAAAACTATACAAAACTGGTACAAATCTGAGGAGAACGGTAACAAAGGGCAACTTGAATGACAAAAGACATACAACATTGCAACTAAGCGGATCCAAAGGGCTACTTGAATGATCATGGCCTCCTTGTATGGCTCAAAGCCACTGTGCTGCAATTGCGTCACAGCAACAGAAAGGATGGCGAGTTCCCTGTCCGTGAGCGGCATGTTGAACCCTCTGAGCTGGGATCGATTCCTTTCCACGTCTGCCTGTGTTCAGCACAGCAAAACTTCAACGAAAACTATCCCCTGTCATCTACCATGCGCATAACCGAGGACGAGGAGGCTTTATTACAATAAGGAAGGAAGTTTCAGTCTCAGGAAAACAAAGCACCTGTCAGGAAACCAAACATGTTTTCAGGGCAAATGATGTTCTTGTTGGACATCTGAGTCACCTTGCCCACAGTCTTGCAAATCTCTTCGAAGTCCTTGCTCCACTTCAACTCGGAGTCAAGCTTCTTCTTCTTGTTGGATTTCGCACGTTGACGGGCTGCGTCAGAGCAGTCCTGCAAGAAGAATTTCTCAAGCGGGTATGGATAACACTTGAACTCGTTGACAATGTCCAAAGGCGAAGGCCTCGGGGGGGAGGGGAAAAAACAGACCCACCTGTCACGGTATACCCTTGGAACTAATCTAAACAGTGGGACAATCAAAAGGCACCCGCCAAAAATCCCTTTATTATAGGCTTTAAATTGATTGAGCTTGATTGGTCCAAGGTACACCTGACTGGACGCGTCCTCCTTCCGGCAATACAAAGCCCACACCCTTGAACGATTCTGCATCAATCCGAACTGGCTGGCTGAGATCAACTCGTGAGCTGCCATGTAACCACGCCGAGCAAATGCATCGTTCTGTATGGAGATCGGAGTTTCGTTGTCAAAGCGTTTGCGGCTATGCTGCATTGAGCTGACGTTCTCTGCCGTCACCAGCACCGGACGACAGTAGTCAACGAAACTCATGAGAGACTTATAGCCACTGCCTGTCACGCTACTCTCGTTGAGGAACGACTGTGCTGAGTTGTTTTGCATTGAGATGCTCTTGCACGGGTACCCTATCAAGACCACCTGCACCTGGGGTGAATGCAAACTCGGAAAGGCACACAACATCAAAGATCAATGTCACGTCAGTACTAGGCAAAACCAGCCCTTCGCATCCCCTATTCGTAGAACAAAGGATAAGATCAAGGGTGAAAACAAAGAGAAGACAGTTGGCACAAATTGGTAGCTGTCTACTTCGCAACGCAAAGTTGCCAACGCCAAACAAGTCACCTTGGGCACGTCCTGCATGCGCTGGCTCCGATAGTCAAAGCACCTGCCAGTCCCTAAGGCTCGCATGTCATCGAAGATGTAGCAATCTTTCCAAGCACCTGACAAGTACTTCTTCTTGTACTCCTCGTTCTCGCACATGAACTTCACCCGGAGCTGACAGAGGGTCAGAAGAAACTCACAAAAAGTTACACACACATATATATCTATACAGTATATATATATAGGAAACGACTCGGCCGAGATGAGATTCTTTTCTTCCGAATTGTCTTAGACAAGTCGGGCAAAAAAGCTGATCATTTGCTAGCTGCAAAGAGTGTCACAAATCACGCAGCAGGCTGATCATCTTCCAACTGCAAAGGACCTGCTTCTCCATCATAGTCCGAGTCGCCTGCAGTCTCTTTTGGCAAAACATGGATCACTCGGAAACGATGAGGCTTGGCCCATGGACGGCCAGCAACATCACCAGCAGCCTGCACTTCATATCGCCGCAAGTTCAAGTACTGGTACGATGTTGGGCGAGATACCTGCTCACTGTCACCATCCACCCACGAAATGAGGTAGGCCATCCATGTCAATGATCCCCTGTTTGTGGCATTGGGGAGCATAAGTGTGAATATTGTTTTTGACTTTCTCCGAAATGATACGCTTGCTTTCGTTCCCCACAGGTTGTTGGAAGGCATTCCGCAACTGAAGACACATAGAAGCCGGAATGAGACATATCACGCGGAAAGGCGCTGAGTCAGCCATCCTCTTCTTAGCAAAAGAAGGACATCGGAGGCATGCGGAGTGCTTCCCGCAATCTCTTCCACTTCGCAGTTTCCATACGTTTGGGGGTCGCAATCCATTCGCAAGGAGAACCGAAGCTGTCCCACATGTCCTGAGAAAAACAACCCAAAGTCTGATGTTGTCGGTTTGGCCACACCACATGACTCAATAGAAATACGCCCACTTAAAAGTCAACACAATGTTTAATTACAGAGAAAGTTTCTGAGCCCTAATAGGCGAATGCCAAGGACTTGTACCCAAGTCTTCCAATCAGCAAGTGTATCTAACTTTGAAGCGATTGCTCGAACCTTGACATGCTTGCTCTTAGTCCTGTGGAACTCCGCGCTGTTGTCGGGCCGGAAGGTGTCCATCAAGGCAATCACGCCTGTTGGATTGCTGAATTCGTGCCTGGACAGGATGGCCGCTTGCTGAGAAAAGACTTGATCAATGTCTTCGTGGCCTGAAATGCGCCAACACTTCCACTCACGGTGACTCGAAAGAAGGTTGTATGACTGAGAAAACAATATACCTTGCCGTGCAAAACAACACTGACTTCATCATCCAAGGGGCTGTGGCCTGTTATTAAATAATTGGCCACACACCACCGGAAAACTCCCAGTGCCACCTGCATGGCTGCCCAAGCCATGAAGAACTGATTTTTGGATTCGCGACAGGTGTTGTCGCACTGCACGCTCAACCCATGGGGAAGGCATCCATGCGAGGTCAAGCATTCATCCAGCGCCCGGGATATCATCCCTATTTGGTTGGAAGAGTTCTTCAATGTGTCCTCGTCCTGAACGAAAAAGCTGAGGACTTCTCCGTGGACCCACACGGCTCCAACATGGAGTTTGGGTCGCCATAACTTCTCGAAGGTCTTGCTGGACCTAGTGCGCACCCGAGGGCATTTATATTTGGCTTGGTCCATACCGTCCGCAATCAGTGTTAAAACTGATTGCGAAACGGAAAAGGAAGCCAGAGCCTGAAGGCTGCCCATGTACCTCATAGCAGAAAACATTGTTTGAGACATGGAACGAAAGCTCCAATAGATCTGTCGGTCCAACCATTGCAATAAAATGTGTTGTCGATGATCTCTTTGCGCAGCATGTCTCCTCTCTGGGGTCTTCGCAGAAGAAATGGCCCGCTTTTGATGGTAGCATTGGTCACACTGGCCATGCTCATTGACCTTCCTAAAACGCAAATGGCCGTCTCGCACCCCCGGCCCCAAAACAGGATTGGCAACACGCAGGAACTGTGTATAGGATGCAGCGACCACATCCCAGTACAAGTCTGTCCGATTTTGATGTGGGAGCGCACGGAGCGAGCCCCGGAAAGTGCCAGGCCCAACCAGACTCAGGTCAACATCACTGGACATCGACTGCAAGGACATAGAGAAAGCGTTGACCAAACGGGCCACGGAATCTGGATCAATGTTGGTATTGCTTTCCGGAAACGGTGTTTCCTGGACCTTGTCGCCTGGAATGGAAAAGCCGGTAGGCATACATTCTGCCACGCGGTGGTATACAAACCATAAATACATGATCACGTTTTCCCACAAAGCCTGACCCAAGCCTCTGATGGCGAAGCCGAACATCGGATGCTTGGGCACCTTCGATCTCGCATCATTGGTGAAGATTTCAGCTCCATTCCGGAGTCTCTCCAAAGTTGAATTTCCCACACCTATAAGTCTCGCTAAAGATGCCCTGCACACCGGTAACCCCAAAAACTCATAGCCATCTTTCTTTCTCGGGGCATAGCGTGTTCGCTTCGCAGCAGGCAGCGCATTCCGGTTTGCCTCTTGCGCAATGTCGGACTCGCACAACACACTGCCATCCGAAGACTGAAATACAGAGCCCTCAGCATCGGAAGACTGCAAATATTCCTCTGTGTTTCCTTCGTCAGAGGATTCAAACACAACATTTTCCTCAGGCATTGACATGGGATCGGGTGCAGACCTGAAGGCTGCATCAACTCCGCAGTTGAAGGTTTGGGAAAGCCAAGACTCCTCACGGGTGCACTCTTTTCCGAAAAGCACAGCGTGTTGCTGCAAGGCTTCGTATATATACTCAATCAAACATTCTTGAAAACACCTCCCAACATAATATACTGTGTTGATCAGTGAGAG